TACTAGGCAAGCGCTCTACCACCAAGTTATCCCCTGGCAGCTGGGTTTGCTGAGTGCGTGTGGAAATGATATGGTTCCTCCAAGAGACCCGCAGTGCAGGCCGCTCCCTCAGCGTGGGTCCCAAGTTCACTTGATGGGCTGCAGCGCCAGATGACCCAGGGCGGAAATGTGCTACAGGGAGAAACAGTTGTCATCATCAAATATGAATTCAGCTTTTCCTGAAGTGGCAGGGTGCTTCTAAAAAGTTAATAAGAACAAGCAGGAGCCTGAAATAGTGTGAAAAGGTTTCTCCTTATTTTATTTCTTTAAAGAAAAGCAATTATTTTGTCATAAGAATCATTTATGATATCATGAAGGGTCATCTCCTAGTAGAGATTATTGTCTTCTGATAATAAGAAATGGTCTCATTCTGTTCTGACTTAATTTACTGTGCTCATGCTCCAAGAATCAGGGGAGGACGAGGCTGTGGGAAGTGCCCTCAGGGACTTCACTCTTTTCCAGGTAGAATTAGAGTGCAATGGGCAATTTACAAGGGCTGATAAAAAGTACAGTGTGTTTTTAAATAAAAGAATTACTACAGTAAAAGGTACATTGCCATTAATCCCCTTCAAAACATTCCCCCTCATTTCGAGCACACATATCCCCTCATTCTTAGCATTTTCGGGGAGACCTCTTTGTGAGTGTCCAGGTATGGTAAAAAAACATGGCGAATGTTGCTGCTGAGTGCCATCCAGTGAAAAGGCCGCTCTTTAAAACATTATGGCGGTCCTCATCCACCTTACTCACCAGATCTGGCACCATGCACCTTCCGCCACTTCCCCAAAGTCAAAAACCAAGAAAGGTAAATGTTTTAAATCAATTCAGGACGTCGAGGCAGCCATGACAGCTCAACTAAAGACACAAAAGAAGACTTCCGGAAGTGATGCAGAAAGTGGCCGGAACAAGGGGACAACCGTGTTTGAAGGGCAGGGTGTTAATGGCAATACGCCTTTTATGATAATAAGTTTAAAAAATAAATACTCACTGTAGTTATTGATCACATCTCATACACTCAAAAAAAAAGAAGAGATTCTAACAAAATGAAAGACTATGGCCTTTGGAACCAGGAATATTGTAAATATGAAAATCAAAGTAGCAGGTATAAACTTACATATCATGAGTGCATTCACAGCACAGGTCAAACTGAACACGACTGTTGGCTCACCAGTTACAGGGTAACTCCTACTGTGTGTGATGGGTATGGGTGTTAGGTAATAGCAGAAGTTAAGTAGCAGTGAAACTCAATGTGCAGCAAGGTAATTGAAAATTCATATGGACATTCTATTTAAATCAAAAGTTACTTCATAATTAATCTGCCATAGGAACAGTAATTCAAACTACACTCCTAAGTCGCATAGGAAAGCATCAGGAATTATGGCAAAACTTTCCCACAATGTGTCATGGGAGGATAAGCTGACAAATCAGAAAAATTGTTGCAAACACAATGGCAGCATTATCTCTCTGCAGAAGGGTGGGGGACCCTCTGGTGAAATGCTCCCAGGCACAGAGACTATTGTTCTTGTCTCTGCACTTGCAGAAAAGCCGGCATGAGTTATAGAAAGCCTAGAGGAGGCAATTAAAATGATTGCAGGATGAAGATCCTATTGATACACTGGCCAAACATGTTCTGAAGATCTACCGTAGGCCAAACTTTACGAGAGACGTGAATAGTCACACAGGTTCCCATTTCTTGTGCACTGTGAACCCCACTGGTGCCTGGCTGTGTGACTTACTACTTTACTTGCACCTCACAGTAACTTTCTATGCAATGCAGATATTTGTATTTTGCTTCTGGTTTTGTTTTGTTTGTAGCAGAGGCAGATGTCCACAAAACTGGTTTCTTTCGCTCTCTGGGCTCACAGCTAGACTGCACGTTCCAGACTTCTTTCAAGCTAGCTGTATTCAAACTGCTAAAGAGGAAAAAAAAATTGAGCTCTAAAGAGGCAAAAATCTGAGCTCTAAGTGGAGGAGAAAAGATACTTTCCCCTTAGCACAAGTAAAGTGTTTCCCAGGACTTTGTAAAGGAATAAACTTTACAAAGCCCCTGCCAGACACACACTGCGCTAAATTAGACATTTCTATGCGTGCTGGAAAGGGAAACATACGTGGGCAACAGGAAGGAGAATGTAGTACCCAGGACTTCAGTCCCTGAAGTCCTACACACACAGAAGAACGCCTAGCATTAAGTGACTGTAACCCCTTCAAAAGCATCTTTTAAAATAATTGGCATTTTAAAAAACAGACTTCTTGAGATACAATTCACACCTCATGAGATTCTCTCATTTAACACGGACAATGCAGTGTTTTCAGTATATTGACAGAGTTGTGTGCCCATTGTCCCAAGGTAATTTTAGAACATTTTCTTCTGAAGGAATCTGTACGTACTAATCTTTCCTTCTCTACCTGTGGCAACAGCAAATACTAATCTACTCTTGATTGCAATCACTTTGCCTATTCTGAACTGGAATCACACATACAGGACTTTTCTTTAGTGACTGACTCTTTTCACTTAGCTTTCAAATTCAGCCACATCAAAGTACCCACCAGTACTTCTTTTTAATTGCTAAATAATTTTCTATTATGTGGATATAGAGCTATAATCGAACTTTGGAATTATTTTCAATTTCTGGCTATTGTACATAATGCTGCTCTGAACATCTGCGCACGTTTTCTTTGTGGGACCTGTTGAACTCAGGGTCTTTGCTCTGAGCTACATCCCCAGTTCCTTAAAATGTTTTTTCACATTTTGAGTCAGGGTCTAGCTAAAATGATGAACTGCCCAGGCTGGGCTTAAACTTGGGATCCTTCTGCTTCAGCCTCCAGAGTGCTTGGCTTCCAGGCATGCACCACCAAGCCTGGCTGGGCACAAGTTTTGTGTATTTCATTACTGCTTGCTTTGAAGTGGAATTGTTGTGCCACTGGCTAACTCTGTATCTAGTTGTTTGCATACCTGCCCGGCAACGTCCAGAAGGGCCTCTTCCCACCAGCCGTGTATAATAACCAGGGCTCCATATCGTCACCTCCTTGCCAGCACGCGTTTCTATCCGACTTTTTCTTGTAGCCCTGTTAGTGAGTGTAACGCGGGATCTTGTGGACGTTTTGATTTACACTTTTCCAAAGAAATGATTTCTAACATGTTCTTATTGGACATCCTGAGCTTCTTGTCTCTTAAATCTTTGGTCATATTTAAATTGGACTTTTATTATTGAGTTGTACTTTTTAGATACATCCTGGATAGCAGGCCCTTAAGCAGATATCTGACTTTTTCTACTGAGATACAATTAACATACTATTAAACTGACCCTGATAAAGTACACACTTTAATTCCAGCTTATCCCCCCCCCCCCCCCCCCGCGCAAAGAAAGTGCTACCCAGGAGGCACGCCCTCCCGTGCCCAGCGCGGTAGCCAGCTGTGCTCTCTGGCCCTAGATGCTGCCGCTCTAGGTGCGCTGCAGAGGTGGGCAGTGCCCACAGTGCAGCGCTGCCAAGGTTGGTCCTCGCAGCGGCGTGTGCTGGGACTTCTTTTCTTTATGCCCAAGTAATGTTTCACCACGTAGGTACCAGCCGGCGGTGCCACGCCCCCTCCGCGGTGCCCC